CCCCAAGTGTCAGTGTGTCATTGTTCTGGGACCCCCAAGTGTCAGTGTGTCATTGTTCTGGACCCCCAAGTGTCAGTGTGTCATTGTTTTGGGACCCCCAAGTGTCAGTGTGTCATTGTTCTGGGACCCCCAAGTGTCAGTGTGTCATTGTTTTGTGACCCCCAAGTGTCAGAGTGTCATTGTTCTGAGACCCCCAAGTGTCAGAGTGTCATTGTTCTGAGACCCCCAAGTGTCAGTGTGTTGATGTTCTGAGACCCCCAAGTGTCAGTGTGTCATTGTTCTGAGACCCCCCTAGTGTCAGTGTGTCATTCTTCTGACACCCCCAAGTGTCAGTGTGTCATTGTTCTGAGACCCCCCAAGTGTCATTATTGTACCGAGTGCCAATATGTCACAGTTCCGGGATCCCAGGTGTCAAGGTGTCCTTGTTTTTGTCTTTCAAATGTCAAGTTTGTCTAAAAATTTGATTTAAAGGCTCTCAAGATGCAAAGTAACTAATAGTTGTCTGTCTCCCTCACCAGGACACTGCATTGTGAAGCAGTCCCTCATGTCTGACCACTGGCCGTGACACTCCGAGCCCCCGTAGGATGGTCCGTTACACTCGCGGATTCTCTTCTGAGTCCCATTGGAGCAAGTGTTAGAGCAGGCACTCCAGCTGGACCAGTCGTTCCAGTTACCATCAACTGCAGGACAAGGTATAAAGAGATTGATGAAGAGGTTATACTTCACATGCAACCAAATGGAACTGAATACTACGAGACAAATGGAAACATGAGAGAGAGAACTCTGAGATCAATGAGGGAAGGAGGAAGATACAGAGAGATATATGGAGAAAGAATAAAACGGATCGATCAGCAGAAACATAACAACTCACTGAAGAGTTTATTCATTGAAATCTATTCCAAATTAAGGAAAATCCGGCTAATTTGACACATTTTACATTTAAAAAAAATAACTTTTCATCTTCTTTGAACACAATTGGATACATTTTCATGGACATAATTAAACACAATTTCAATGTATCAAAAATGTTGATTAGATTTGTTGAATTCGACTGACTCACTCTTCATGTTTATGACCTATTGCCCATGACATGAGGTCTGTATTCTCATGCTTCATTTATATATATATATACATGTGAAACTCGAATAATTAGAATATCGTGCAAAAGTAATTGCAGTAAGTGCTGCAAAAGGAGCCCAAACCAAGTACTGAGTACATATGCATGCTGGTACTTCTCAGAGGTCCGATATTGTTCTATGTACAATCCGTGTTTTATTGATTGCATGTAATATTCTCATTTTTTGAGGTTGTGGATTTGGGGTTTCCATGAGCTGTAAGCCATAATCATCACAATGATGACAAATCACGGCTTGAACTATCTTGCTTTGCATGTAATGAGTCTCTCTCATATATTAGTTTCACCTTTTAAGTTGTATTAGTGAAATAAATGAACTTTGCACCATATTCTAATTATTCCAGTTTCACCTGTATATATATATACATACAGTATATCAGGCCTCAAAATTTCCACTCGCCCCCTCGCAATTGGCGAGTGAAAATTGCGTGGGTGAGCCACGGGCGGGACCAGGGATGGGACACTACCGCCGCGGCGATTGCTCGCTTCTCTTCTCTCTTCTCCTCCTCAGCTGCTGCAGCTACACAGCGGCTGCGGAGGAGAAGAGAGAACAGAAGCGAGCAATCGCCGCGGCGGTAGTGTCCCATCCCTGGTCCCGCCGACGGCGCATCCCCTCGATGACATTCAGTTCTGCTGTCTTCTGCAGCTTCCTCCGCCCACCTCAGCTGCCAGGCTGGGAGGAAGACTGCAGAGACACTGTTGGCCCGGCCAGAAAGTTATGCAGGGGGAAAAGAAAGTTTTAT